AATAACGTTTTTGAGCTTTCACTGACAATACTTATTAAAGATAATTTTAAGCGTGAAAATCTTGGTTTCTTGTGCCCAATAATGCATAATTTCATTTGATAAACACGTTTAGATTGAATGGTAATTTATAATCAGTCACAAGAACGTCGAATCTGAATCACTTGAAAAAAACACGGGGGTGCTTAACTTTTTCCAGGTGTATATAATATCCAGTAAAAACATTTTTCACCATGACACACTTTCAAGTATTTATTCATAATTTATAACACCATCATAATATTTATCCATAATCCTTAACACCTACGATAATATTCAACCCTTCTCTATAAATTTCATTACAATATTTTACTCCACATTATCTACATTTATCCTATTTATCACTACTCCACAACATTAAACACAATAATCAATTCTACTTTTCAGGACCCAATAACATACTGAATTATCTTTAATAATCAGTATGATATTAACTACAAAAAATGGCTTAGTAAAATGACAAACTAAGTCAGTCTGAAAGAAAATCATACACTAAAAAAACTTGCAAATGTTTTTCATTTTTGAGTGTTGTATGACTTAACTTCATAGAACTTCTAGTAAATAATTAAAACATCTTACCTGGACTGAAGGCCACATCTGTTACCAGAGCTGTATGTACTACGAATGTAAAGCAATGGCCATAAGTTACACTTACTCAGTGTGTATATACTACAAACAAAATATTTTTCATTATTTAGTTTATGTAGTGCATATTGGAGTATAAGACATTAATTCTAGAAATAAACAGTCTTACATCACAAAATTTAGTTAGTTTGTTTTTATTTAACCCATTCCAGATGGGTCACAGGAGAAAGGCCATGTCATCATGTCTGTTAACTCGCATTCAACATTTTTTGAACTACAATTTCATGAATTTATGTCAATAAGTTTGGTATCAACCTGTAGATAATTCAAATTTTTGTATTGTTCATTACTCAATTTCATAATTTAAAAGTAAATATTAAAAAACACACTTAAACAATACGATTTTTAGTGTGTCACATGGTATGTTGAATGCAGCACTGGTTC